TCTGTGCCTCCCTCTCCCCCGCTCTCTCTCTCTAAAAAAAAAAAAATCTTAAAAGAAATATGAAAGACCTATTAAAAATTATTTAAAATGTTACTGAAGTATGTAATAGAAGTCTTGAAAGAACAGAAAGATACATCCTGTTCATGAATAAAGAGACTCAAAAAATATTATAAAAATATTGAAGCTTCCTAAATTAATCTATAAATGAAATATGATACCAATACAAATGCCAAAATAACTTTTTTTTCCCCAAATGGAAAAAATATCATAATACCATGCATGGAAAAATATAAATAAAGTCAAAGTCAAATGAGGATATGGGGGGAAAATGCCTGCAAAACAGATGACCAAGAGCTATTTTTTACATATACAGAGTTCCCACAGATCACAAGAAAAAGAGCAACAACCCAAGAGAAAAATGGACAAAACCTTTTACAGACATCTGAGGAAAGGGAAAACAAATATCATGCAAATAAATGAAAAGATCCTCAACCTTACTTATAAAACAGGTGCAGATTAAACATAACATTTTCACCTATTTGATTGGCAAAGACCAAAATGATAATATGGAAGGTATGGGATAAAGACCCTCATACACTCTTAGTGAGAGTATCAATTGGTGCAACCACCTTGAATAGAGAGTGACAAATTTTCTTTCATATCTCTTTGACTCAAAAGTTTCACTTCTAGAAATTTATCCTATAGATCAACAGTGCCATAGAAATATAATGTGAGCCACAAATGCAAGCCACTTATGCAATTTTAAATTTTCTAGTAACCACGTTAAAAAAGATAAAAAGAAACAGTTGAAATTAACAGTAGTATACTTCATACAGCCCAATATAGCCAAAATATTATCATTTCAATATGTAATCAATATAAAATTCATTAAATATTTTACATTCTTTTTTCATACTAAGTCTTTGAAATCTGGTGTGTATTTTACGCTTTCAGTACACCTCAATTCAGACTAGTCATATTTTAAATGTTCAATAGCCATAGGTGGCTAGTGGCTAGGATATTGAACAATGCAAATATAAGATGAAAAGAATAAAAGCAACAGCTAACATTTATTGGGCACTAGGCATTTTTCATGCAATATCTCCTTTAATCCTCACTCTCACCCTGTAACCTTGGTTCTATTATTATCCCTAGTATGTTGATGAGGAAACTAAAGCACAGAGAAATGAACTTGCACAGGGTCACAAAGCTCTGAGCGGCACAGACAGGGTTTATTTATTTATTTTTAAAGATTTTATTTATTTATTTGAGAGTAAGCAAGCGAGAGAGCACAAGCAGGGGGAGCAGCAAGGGGAGCAGCACAGGGAGAGGGAGAAGCAAGCTCCCCACTGAGCAGGGAGCCAGATGCGGGGCTTGATCCCAGAACTCTGGGATCATGACCTGAGCCAAAGGCAGACGCTTAACCGAGGCGTCCTACAGCTAGGTTTTAAACCCAACCCATAGTCCTAACTACTATTCTATACTTATTATATAAATCTACTTGCACATATGAACGAAGACATGTAGAAGAACATTCTTTGTAGCACTGTTTATAAGTAGCAGAAAATCAGAAATAAATGAACTGTTCACCAACAGAGGATTGGTTAAATAAATCAGGATTATGGGGAGGCTGGATGGCTCAGTCGGTTAAATGTCCGACTCTTCATTTCAGCTCAGGTCATGATCTCAGGGTCATAAGACTGAGCCCCATGTGGGGCTCCACGCTCAGTCTGGAGTCTGCTTGAGATTCTCTCTCTCTCTCCCTCTCTCTCTGCCCCTCCTCCCACCCATGTGTTCTCTCCTTGCTGATCAGGGAGCCTGCTTCTCCCTCTTCCTCTGGTTCCTCTCTGCCCTGCTTGTGTTCTCTCTCTCTCAAATACATATTCTTTAAAAAAGATAAAATAAAATAAATCAGGATTTGTTATATAGATTTTTAAAGATGAATGATCCTATCAATTGATTGATTGAGAGAATGATCTCTAAGACTGTTTCATACTGTTGTGTGAAAAATGCAAGGCGCAGAACACTCCATATAGTACTCCACCATTTATGGAAAAAAAATGTGGGAGTGACAAATAGATATATGATTACAAGTGCTGGGGGGTAACTAAAACCAGAAATAGTATTTGCTTCTGAAATGGGGTACGGGGGGTGGGGAAAGGAATGGGAGAGATACTCTTCATTGTTTATATACTATTTAACTTTTATCCTTTTTACCTTGTGCTTATATTTTAAGAAAAAAAAAAAAAAACCTTTGAGGCTTTCCTATGTGACAAATATGTTTACCAGCAATGAACATCAAAACAGACTAAGTCCCTTCACCCATGAGTTTATATTGGAGAACAGGGTTGGAGAAGGTCAAACAAACAAGTCAATAAAGAAACAATTCATCCTCAAGATAGCAGATAATCAGAAACAGTGATAAGCTCTGTGAAGGAAATAAACAAGATGATGAGAAAGTCACTGAGGAAAGCCACTTTAGATAAGTGGCCTGGGAAGGTCTCTTCAAGGAAATAACATCTGGGCAGGAACCTGAAGGATGTAAATAAATCTGCAAGATGAAGGCAAGAGCAATGCAAGCAGAGGCAAAACCATTTACAAAGGCTCAGAGATGGGAGAGGGACTGGAGGACGAAGGAACAGGAAGAAGCAGGAGTGTGACAGAACGCAGTGAGGACAGGAATGAATGAAATGAGGTTGGAGAGGTAGGCAGGAGACAGTCCTGTAAACCCGAAAATGGATTTTAGGAAGAACAATGGGAGCGGGGAAGACACAAGCTAGGATGCTGCAGCTCTGACAGAAGATGACAATGCTTTGGAATGGTGGAGGCAGAAGAAGTGAGCAGAAGCAAACACATTCCAACATACTTCTTTTTTTTTTTTGAAGCTAAATGTGATTTGCTTTGTTTTATTAGAAAAAATACTCAGGCAAGGTCTACAATCATCGGTCAATTAAGAATGACTTACAAGAACATGAGGCAATAAAATAAAAAATACAGGTACAAACTATATATCTGAAACACTTCTATTTGGCAATTTTATAACAAATCAAAATTTTAAAAGAACAAAGGAGATTGCAGATTACTTCGTAGATACAGAATAAAGCAATTGATGAAGTGCTTAAGCAAAAGAAAACAAAAAAAAAGTAAAACACACTGCTTTTCTTTTCTTTTCAAAAATAAAATCACATTTGCTACAGATCAAATGGATAATACCCTTATTAAACAACCATTCCAGAATGTCTTCTAGTAGCAGTGCTTTTATTTGCACTTCATTTAATTTTATATGACTCATTTCATGTATATAGCTCTTTACCCCACTGTTAACGAATAAAGTCTCCCATAATTTTTATTCTTTTTAAAATTCTTTAAAGTAAATGAGAAATGACTTATGTATCATGGAACCTTTCCCATTTCCCAACATACCTTTTATTTTTTTAAAAGATTTTATTTATTTATTTGACAGAGACACAGTGAGAGAGGGAACACAAGCAGCGGGAGTGGGAGAGGGAGAAGCAGGCTTCCCGCTGAGTAGGGAGCCCAACATGGGGTGCAATCCCAGGACCCTGGGACCATGACCTGAGCCGAAGGCAGATGCCCAACGACTGAGCCACCCAGGCGCCCCTCAACATACATTTTAGATGTAGAATTTGTAGAACCTGTTTGTGGGTTAAATGTTAGGAGCAAAGGAAAAGGAGTAATCGAGAATAATTTTTCGTTTTTGTTTGGGTGGGTGGTAGTGCCAATTTAGAGACCAGGAAGAATGGGGGAGGAACACATTGGGGTGTGTATGTGAGAGGCTGTGGGGGAATTAAGATCGCTATTCTAGAGACAGTAGTTCTGAAATGTCTGTTAGACATCCCAATGGATATCAAGTAGACACAGCTGGATTTAGGAGTCTGATCTGATGCTCAGAGGAGAGATCTGGGTTGTCAGCTCTCTTTGACAGTCAACTTCTCCTTCCCTGCAATTCTCTTTTTCTCCCTTTGGTTTTGATGGCACTGATCTCTCCTGGTCTTTCTCCTATCTCCAGCACTTCTTCTTTCTCCCTTGCCTTAAAGTTGATATTCCCTAGCAATCCCTTTTGGGCTTGTTTTTTACTATCTACTATCTATCTTATCTGATAGATAAGCCACTTATCTGAGTAAAAGACTTCCAAATACCCTTACATGTTCTAATATATATGATGGCCCCCAAATCTGTAACTTCAGCTTAGATTTCTCCCCCAGGCAACAGATCTATATATCCAGTTGCCTACAGGGTGTTGCTACCTGGTTGACCCACAAATACCTCAAACTTAGTATGTCCCAAACTGAATAATCGTTTCTTCTTTGCCTCTGTGCATGGTAACACTACCCATTTAGCTAGCCAGGGCCCAAATCTTAAATTAGTATTAAATATTCTTTTCCCTAGTAAAACAGAGCTCAGTGTACCTGAAAGACCTTCCATACAAGAAGAAAAACAAATATAAGGCCATGCACTCATCACCCAGGAGCTCCAAACACTGGCTCAATAATGTGCTGTATCCTCTGTTTGCCATTTTTCACCCTTCACCCTGCTTTCTGCCATGGATGCTGACACATCACATGGATCCTATGGCCAATGGGGCATCCCAGTAGAAGACTGGAGGGAAAGGAGAGTAAGATCAAGGTACTGTTCCTCTGGCTCTCCTCCTGCAAACTCTCATTCTTTAAGTTCACAGTACAATATGATTTTGTTTCTAAAATGGTAGACAGACAGGGTGAATTTGGGGATAGGATAGGGAAATCAAGGGCAGGAAGATGCTAGAAGCAAAAAGACCACTGAAGAGATTTTCATAGTGTCCATGTTGAGAAGTAATAAGGGTCATTAGGGAAACATCCTTTGAGGGCTGGCTTTCATGTTTTTATCTGCCTGTCCCCAACATCTAAGCCTGCTCCTCAGCGATGAGAATATACTCAGCACATATTATTTAAAAAAATAAGAACTGTGAAATAAGCAAAGATCAGGAGTCTAAGGTTTACCTTGTATCCATTATCTTCTTTGCGGTTGTGAGAAGCAGTAATCATCACACCTGCAACTGCTTTGAGCTCCTGGACTGCATATGGCTGAAAAAAACAGTAACACCATAATTCCATTTTGCTCTCCAGCTACTTACACATTTGACATAAGAATAACCTTGAGTAAATAGCAGGAGAAGACATTAAGACATAAATAGCCTAAAACTTCAACAATCAACTCCAGATACACTGGGTACGATATAGCTAAAGCCATCTAACTGTTAGGTCACCAATAGCCACCTAACTGATAGACTGAATGGCTTTTTCCTCCTAGTCTAATTTACCTTAGTCCTATAAACTTTTCTTTTTCTTTTGTTTATTTAACAGATATTTAAGGAACACTTACTATATGCCAGACTCTAGAAATATGAGTGATGAATATAATCTTAAAAATGTTAGTGTTGGAAGTTAATTTAGGAATCATCTAATCCATCATATTTTACACATTATAAAATCGTAAGGGAGAAGATTCAAGGGTAGAACAACATAGGTCTACTGACTTCCAATTTGAAGATCTTTATATATACTCCATGACCTTTATAACATAATAGGTCAAGTCACCACCTTCTCTCCCAAAGTTAATTCCCAGGTTGGATTTACCTTTTTCTCTGTAGTAGCTATTATTTGTCAGCCTAGGATATACCCCCTACCCTTCTACCATCACTTCTGATTTCTCTTCTCCTGGCCATAGGGAACAAAAGATCCAGGTCTGATCAGAGTAACTTATTCCCTTGATGATATGATTCAGAGACTGGCTCATAACCACCCAAGCCTGGTCAGAGTCCTTCCCCAAGATGTTTCTTCCGCAGCTAGTCAAAGAGAATTGCCAAGGAGGACCACTAAAAATATCTTCCCTACATACTACAGCAAATCTACCTGTAATGAGAGAGGAAGGCCAACACACAGGAATTGATGGTAGTTGAAGTTGGCAACCCAATGGCAGAATCCTACAGACATGGTCTAGATTCCTGGAACCTCTCTGTTTTCTGTCATTCATTAGAGCTAATTGCTTAGTGATTCCTTCAATTCTTTGAGCCACTCAACACATTTCCAATGAATCACTAGAATGGTTTATAGAGATATTATCTATTCCTCAAACATTTGAGAAAACTTGCCTATAAAATGATTTGTACCTGCCATTTTTAATTTGAGAAGATTTAAAAAAAAAAATACCAGTTGAATTTATTTAATGATTACAGGTCTCTTCGGGTTTTCTATTTCTTATCAGTTTCGATGTATCAATTATTCTAGGAAATTGGCCATTTCATCTCAGCTTTCACATTTATTTGCATTATGTTCAGAATACTGTGGTTTTCTTAATCTCTACTGTATGTATTATGCTCCCTTTTAATTTGTCTTTTTTTCTTGAGCATCCTTGCCAAAGGTTTGTCTATTTTTATTAGTCTCTTCAGTGAGTCAACTTCTGCTTTTAGTCATACCCTGTTTTTAAAATTTTTCTATTTAATTGATTTTTTCCTCAGACCTTCACTATTTTCTTTTACTTTATTTAGATTTAGTCTATTTTGATTATAACATACTAAGCTCGTTATTTTTTCATCTTCCCTTTTTCTAATATGTTAAGGATATATATATCCCTTGAAGTAGGGCTTTAGTTATAGTCTATAATTTTTGCTATTTATTATTTTCACTGTGGCTCAGTTTCAAATACAGGTAGTCCTTGCTTTGCAGTTCCAATACACATGAATTTCTGATACCATATTTTAGTTAAATAACACCCAACAACACAGTCTCCCAACAACACATTCAAATTTCAGTTACCATGGTATATTAACTGTGAGAAACTGTATCAAGTGCAAACTTGCTACCTCTTCAGTCCACAAATAATATGTATGTATATAAGAGATCCATCATGATCGGTGACCAATCATGTCACTCTGTTAAAGTCTGCCAGTGATCTGTGCATCTGTTATCAGCTCTCAACAGACAGCAAAGCATGTAGTTGTGTTGCCTCCTTAACTCCTGGTGATAAATCCATGGGATAGTCTGCAAAAATGGATAACTGAAAGAAGGAACTGGCCAAAAAAGATGACAGTGTAGAAAAAGAACAAAAAGTGACAACAATGGAAGGGGAATTTGAATCAAACATAAATGGAATTACAGAAAAACATAGCTGGGAATGTTGACATAGCTGTCATTCAAGAGACTCTAGATGTGCACCCAGATGAGCTTAGTGTAGGTGAACATATGGATATAAATGAGGAATGTGGTTGGGATGAAAAGGATGAAGATGTCCCAGGGGAAGTGATATTAGCAAAAAAATTTCACATTAAGGAACTCTCAGAGAAAAATCGTAACATTGAAAGTACAATGGATAAAATATGGGAAGCTGATCCAAACTTATAAGGGAATGTGACAATTCACCAAGACATAGAAAGGATGCTCACTCATATTAAGTTATAAAACAAAAAGCACATACTGTTTATACTTTTTTTTGTTATAAAGGTATCCTTTCTTTTTTTTTTTTTTTAAAGATTTTATTTATTTATTTGACAGAGAGAGAGATAGCGAGAGCAGGAACACAAGCAGGGGGAGTGGGAGAGGGAGAAGCAGGCTTCCCGCTGAGCAGGGAGCCCGATGTGGGGCTCGATCCCAGGACCCTGGGATCATGACCCGAGCCGAAGGCAGACGCTTAACGACTGAGCCACCCAGGTGCCCCAAAGGTATACTTTCTCTATCTATCTATCTATCTATCTATCTATCTATCTATCTATCTATCTAATTTCTACACCCAACATGGGGCTCAAACTCACAACCCCAAGATCAAGAGTCATATGCTCTTCCAACTGAGCCAGCTAGATGCCCCTGTCCTGTTCATACTCTTGATAAATTTTTTACCAAGAAATAAAATACTTTATTCTCAATGTTTTTAATGTTTTAATTATAGTGTACTAAATAAGTATTAATTTTACTATTTTTTTCTTTCCCTTGGACATTTTAAACCAAGAATAGGGTATTCTTAATGTTTTGACAAAAAACTTTAAAGTTCACAGAACAGTTGTAATTTTCCCATTGATTATTAAGGATCACTGTGCATGGTTTCAGCTTATAGTTATCTTTACAGTCCAGCAATACCATGCAAAGCAAGGACTGCCTGTAGTTTCTAATCTTCATTATTATATCTTCCTTAATCCAGGAATTACTTATATTTTAAAAATTCCAAACATACGGGGTTTTGTGAGTTTCTTATCTCTGATCTCATTGCATTGAGGTCCAGGACCATGGTTTGACAAGCAGTTCTCTGGTATTTACGGAAATTTCCTTTTTGACCCTGCTTGATAAGAATGAATATCCTACTGAATGCAGTATCTTCACGCACACCCCCCCACTCAGATCAAGCATGCTAATAGTATGTTCAAATCTCTCCTTAGCCATTTTTATCTGCTCGATAAGCCAGTTTCTGAAAGAAGAGTATTAAAATATCAGACCATGACTGTGGCCTTGTCATCTTGTTATAGATTAAAATCTTTGGTGGGTCAACACATGCTTGTTGAATGAAAATAAACTCAGAGCAAAATTTGTTTTCCTTCCTTTCGTCCTTCGTATCACTTAATATAGAACTATAAGCATGACAAAGATTTGAATCCCAGTTGAATTAAGAAATCGTTTTAAGAGCAACAAACTGTACAATCAATAACATGTCACACTTACTACAAAAGGTGTAGGAACATATTTTGAAAAAAGGTACACAGGAACATCTTTGGCCAGTAAGACTGCAGCAGTGAGTTTAGCAAGTCTAAAAAAAAAAAAAAAAGAGAGACAGAGATTTCACTTAGTCCTTAGCTTACCATACATTTTAAAACCCAACCCTCCACAAAATAAATGTTTCATATTATAATTGTTCTGAATATGTAGTAGCCTAATACAGCCAATTCTTAAAATCACTGGTTATTTAGGCTTCATGCTCCAACTTAAAAATGTGAAATAAGATTTTTTTAAAAAGGAACTTAATAAGAAATAGAACTGATATTTTAATTTCTTCCTTTTTCCTCCTCCTTTACTAAGAAATAAAACCCACAAAAGGCAAAAAGAATGGAGGAAAGTGAAATAAGAGACTTTGATCAACAAAAATGCATAATTAAACCCTGAAAAAAAAGTATCACTATCTCATGATTACCTATGTATGAAAATACCCTAAAACTAATTAAATGTGAGTATAATGAGAGAATACAAGCTATACAATCACTCCTACCCAATACGTTGGCCAAAATATTAAAAATCATAACATAAACTATGATGTCATTCTAAATACTAACCCTAAATATTTAAAAATTTTAATCCTGCCTGTAAGAGCTAAAGGTTATAATTCAACCTTTAAAATGCTTCTAGTCCAGCTCTAAAATAAACATTAGCATGTGATCACATTTCTATTTGACAGTTTCCTGTTTCAGAAAGCTTACTACTAATTTTTTTTAAGGTTTTATTCCAACCCAACTTAATCTCTCAAACAATTCACACTGTACCTCTGGCTGCTGCAGCTGCTAGTTACTTGACCCCGGGTGTCATACCCAACAACAAAGCCTCTCTGCTTGAAGTCTGAGAAACATCTTTCAAGGTATTTGTACATTCCCTGAAGCAGATAAACACAAAAGATTAGTTCCTGACTAATACCTGCATTTCCCACAACTTAAAATCTATTATTTTTTATGTGTAGTGTGCAACTTATCGGCTCAAAGGGAACTGGCTTCCGCCTTTATGCTCATGTTTACCAGTGTGGGAACAATACTGTTCAATCCTCAGATGTGAGATGACAAACATTTATTTCCTCCAGTTTCAGACACATTTAATACCACAGAAATATCAATTAAGTAACTATGAAAGCCAATATAATACATAAAACGTTAGGGAAAAAAGAGGGGACAAGAGAGTCAGTATGCTAAAAACAAATTGTTAGAAGAACCAAAAGAAATCTTGCCTTAAGGCTGTAGACAACAGAATTTTGACCATTTTAGGTCCTGCTAAATCATAACACTGAAGCCAACCAAAAGATTTGACTTGTTTATGACACAAACATTTTTAATCAGCAATATAAACTTTTTTTTTTTTTTAAAGATTTTATTTATTTATTTGACAGAGAAAGACACAGCGAGAGAGGGAACACAAACGGGGAGTGGGAGAGGGAGAAGCAGACTCCCTGCCAAGCAGGGAGCCCGATGCAGGACTCGATCCCGGGACTCCAGGATCATGACCTGAGCCGAAGGCAGTCGCTTAACCAACTGAGCCACCCAGGCGCCCACAACATAAACTTTCATTAGAACATTTCTTTCTGTCCTTCCTTCCTTCCTTTCCTTCCTTCCTTCCTTCTTTAAAGATTTTAAGTAATCTCTATACCCAACATGGGTCCGGAACTCCCAACCCCAAGATCAAGAGTGCACGTTCTACTGACTTAGCCAGCCAGGCATCCCATTAGAACATTTCTTTCTTTTTTTTTTTTTTAAGATTTTATTTATTTATTTGTCAGAGAGAAAGAGAGCGAGCAAGCACAAGCAGGTTCCCCACTGAGCAGGGAGCCCGACGCAGGACTCGATCTCAGGGTCCTGGGATCATGACCTGAGCTGAAGGCAGATGCTCAACTGACTGAGCCACCCAGGCATCCCACCCATTAGAACATTTCTATAGATGGCTGATCCCATTTGTAATTCCTTAGTTTTAAAATCTCACAGAAAGAAAATTTCATGAACTAGGAAAATTTGCAGTCAATGGTGACAAAAAAAGAAATGAAGTATTTAATATTGAAATCATCACAAAAATAAACTAGAACCATTTAAGTATCCTATGAATGATTTGCTAACTTTAATAAATGCTTTTATCTCTAAAAATAACACTTCATACTGTAATAGTGCTTTAAAACCACTTTCACAAATGTTGCCACATTTAATCCTTACAACCCTGAAAAGAAAAATGAAGATACTTTTTCTATTTTTGTCTGTCCTTCAACATCTTTTCAAAAAAAGAGTAGCATAAGATTGAAGCTCCACTTAATGACTTGCCCAAGGCCATTCATTCAACTAAAACTAAGTTACTCTAATTTATTGAAGACCTACTGTATGTCAGGCACTGCTAAGACACTATGTGGCAGCACCAGATGAGGCCCTAGTGACTTTCGGACCCCTCTTTCATGGCTCTTTCAAATATAATTGTTCTTTCCAACCTGCTCCTGAAAGAGAACTTCAATCACCTCCATTTTGGCCTTCATCTGTACTATCTAAGCTCTTCTTTCCAGCTTATCTCTTAAATCAGGCAAAAGACCCGGCTGGCAAAGCATCCTGTGATGGGAACCAAAACTACCTACCCCTCCAATAATGTCAGCAAGACCCTTCATGAGGGACCCCAGGACAATGACTAACCTGACCTTTATTGCCGACCTGCACATACCCACTACTTTTGTCCTACACTTTCCTTATATAAACTTAGAAGGTTTTTTGGGCACTTTGGAGACAGTCTTTGAGATTTTTTTTTTTTTTAATTTTATTTATTTATTCATGAGAGACAGAGAGAGAGAGAGGCAGAGGGAGAAGCAGGCTCCCAAGAAGCAGGGAGCCCGATGCAGGACTCGATCCCAGGACCCTGAGATCATGACCTGAGCCGAAGGCAGACGCTTAACCATCTGAGCCACCCAGGCGCCCGACAGTCTTTGAGATGTTAAGTCCACTGTCTTCCCGGTGTTGGCCTCACTGAAATAAATTCCTTTCTTGTTTCACCGCCACTGTTTCTCTGCCTTTGGATTTTGTCAGCAGCAAGTGGCCAAACTTGGGCTGCTTAGGATCCCCAGTCAGGTGCTCTTGCACCTCTGTACTCTGGTTATGAGCTCCCTATGAGTGTGTGTGTGCGAGTGTGGGTATGTGCACGTGAACACATGCTTAATATAGCCCACATTGGTCAGTTTCACCAATTTATTTGTTTCTAAAGATGATGCTGTCCTAAAATCTCACAGAACTTCCTACTATTATCTGGTATAAAAATCTACCTTATCTTATCCCCGTGTACCTAGATTCTGAAAAGGGCTAGGGCTTAAGAATCAGATTCCATTAGGCTTTTCCTCTTCACACAATGGAATCTCAACTCCAGTAAAAATTTACATTTCCATAGAAATTGACTTTCAAACACCTCCTCCAATCCTTTTTGTAAAGTCAAGGAATCTTCCTTTAAAATGAAAACTTACAAGGAAACGACGAATTTATTAAAAAGAGTGACCTGATGCATCTCTGGATGAGGAAAAGAAAGGGGGCAGGGGTACAGAAGTGGCAGGTATCCTACCTATTCAGTCATCTTGTTGTCCCTTTTTCCCCATCCCCTGCATTAGCCTTTGCCTTTAGAGAATTCCCTCAGAACAAGGCTAAGGATGATTTATTGTTTGGCAGTATTGATTAGAATTATATCTACTGAGCAATTCTCTAGTCCAGAACTATTTTTAGTATATGCTAAATGCATTTTAGCCTCAAAGAATAGTTCTTGAATCAGTGGGAATGATTCACTAGAAAAAGAAGTAATCTGTTTCTAAGAGAAATAAATTGTATCATATCATACACTGTCTTAAAGAACTCTCATGGACTATAGGAAACAAACAGAGGGTTGCTAGAGGAAAGATGGGTTGGGGGGGGCAGGTAACTGGGTGATGGGCATTAAAGAAGGCATGTGATGAGCACTGGGTGTTATATGCAACTGACAAATTATTGAACTCTACATCTGAAACTAAGGATGTACTCTATGTTGACTAGTTGAATTTAAATTAAAAAAAAAAGAACTCTCATGGATATGAACACTGTCTTAAAGAACTCTTGTGCATATGGAAAACCACATCAAAGAGAAATATTTTCAACTACATTTTCCAAATACTCTGGTTAACCTTTATCAATGGCCATATACCAAAATGAATAATTCTCTTTTTTCTAAGTTTGTTTTTTGTATTAATTGGAAATGTCAATATCCATTTCCTGATTTCAAACACAAAGTAACATTGTCAAGAGTTTGACAATGGTCACCAAAAGGACTCTTAATCAGAAAGTTAGTCTATAACCTTGAAGATACACAAATGACTTCTAAGATAAATCTTGTGCAAGACCAAAGGTCAGCATTTATTCTACATTTTTTATTTACAAGAAAGTACCTTCCTAGATATAAAGTTTGGGTTTTGTTGTTGTTGTTTTTTTTTAGAAAGGCACAACCTAATTTAAAAAGCCAAAAAATAGTGTGATAAAAAGTATACATATAGTACTTTGTAATACTTACCTGTGTTGACTGTATTACTGTAAGGTCATTAATATAGCAAAATCCTGCCCCCATAGCAGAACGAAGTCCTGCAGTCCCAAAAGTCATTCGGCAACAAAGACGATCTCGCAGCTCCTTGTTCATCCCATTCCGTAACAGATTTTCAATCTGCTCTTTTGTTTTGGGATTCTATAAAAAAGTATTAAGACTTAATCAGGATCACAAGCAGGGTCCTAATATGAAGCCCTTCTGAGGAGCCAGTATTACGCATATATCACAAGGTTCTAGACAAACTATAAATTCCACAGTGCTACTGATCAGTATTAGTATGTATAATAAAACAATACTGGCCATTTACTGAGTCCCCCAAGGAGTCAGGCCCTTACTGGAGTCCATTTACATATCTCTAATTGTCATAGCATATTTTGTAACAATATTCAAGAATTTTTTTTAACAAATTGATAAACTTAAGAGCTATGGATCCAAAATAAGCCTCTTAGTCAAAAAAGAACATTAATTAGAGTCTATATTAAGTTTTAAAAGAAATATGGAAGCTATTGGGCAAAAGCCATCAACACATGCTGACCAACTACTTCCTAAATCTCTGTGATTCAAAGTGACCAGATAAGCCTTCCTGCTCTTTAAAGTCACAGAAAACCACGTGACCATAAAATGGTCTTAGATATTAAATGTGGACTTAGCTAAAAATGAGAATGAAAATTCAGTCCAAACTTGGCTTGCCAAGCAGGACACAGCAACACCTGTATTTTAAGATTCTGTGTTTCATTATCACATCTTTTACCTTATTTTCATAAAGCTCAAGGATGCCCCTGACTGAAATAGTACTTCACAAACAATTAACAAACTTCAAATAGAAATGCAATAAAAATTAGAATAAAACTTGAATGGAATTTTCCAGTATTTTCTTTTCAAGAGTAAGAATCAAATACTACGAAAATAAAGTGAACCACAACTTCTCCCTTCCATTATATATATATAGTATAGATTTAGTCCATACTAAGAGCTTAGATCTTCTACATCTATAGCCTATACAATGATAATGAATATTCAGAATGATAAACCAAGGCACCTACAAGGTGTTAAATATTAGAGTATATTTGTACTTGCAAAGAAATAAAAACATATTAATATATATTTAAACAAAAAGGTTTTCTGGTTATAGTGGAATTAAAGTAACCAGAGTACATGCCACAAACTAATGAGAAGCCATGGAAATTCTGATTAACTGAAATTGTAATCTGCTAAAAATGCATAGAGTGTAAAAAAAAATATATATATACACACATATATATACCATATACATATATAAAATATACATATAAAACCTTGACTCAAGGAATTTTTTTTTTTTTTTAAAGATTTTACTTATTTATTCATGACAGACAGAGAGAGAGAGAGAGGCAGAGGGAGAAGCAGGCTCCCAAGGAGCAGGGAGCCCGATGCGGGACTCGATCCCAGGACGCTGGGATCATGACCTGAGCTGAAGGCAGACGCTTAACCATCTGAGCCACCCAGGCGCCCTCAAGGAATCTCTTTTATAAATGGCACACACTAACAAATACATAGGCTACATAAAAATATGAATAGCTCTTTTTAAAAAAAGATTTTATTTATGTGAGAGAAAGAGAGCCATGTGCACGAGTGGGGGAGGGGCAGAGGGGAAGAGAGAAGCAGACTCCCCACTGAGCAGGGAGCCCCACGCAGAGCTCCATTCCAGGACCCCGGGATCATGACCTGAGCAGAAGGCAGATGCTGAACCAAGTGAGCCACCCAGGTGCCCCAAAATATGAATAGCTATTAAGAGAAGAATCTAAACAATAAGATGACCTGGGCTACTATATATTATTCTAATGTCTAAGATACCACCAGATTTGATACAGAGGTCAAAGAGACTAGAAGAGGGCTAACATTTAAAAATAAGTATAAGAATGGCAAAAATTGAAGACTAAAAAAACCTCCATTCTGTAGAGGGTACATGGCAGTGTCATATAGTTAGTGACACTGAAATTGGGATAGTCCTGGGGCACCTGTCTGGCTTAGTCAGAAGAGCATGCGACTCTTGATCTCGGGGTCATGAGTTTGAGACCCACACTGGATGTAGAGATTACTAAAATTAAATAAATAAATTTTATTTAAAAAAAAAGAAATTGGGATAGTCTTTTTAGAGTTTCAGCCACTATCAAAATTTAAACTGCATATGTCTTTTGGCCCATAAATTTCTCTGTCCACAGCAATATCTTCACCCAAACAAAAAAAGATTTATTCATACAAGAATGTTGATTGCAGCAATTTACTGGTAGTAGTATTATCACCATTGTATTGATAAAGAACCTAAGATTTCGAAGGGAGCCTAGTAACACAGAGCTAATATTAGAGGTCTAGACAGGATTTGAATCCAGGTTGGTCTGGCTCTAAATCCTATACCATCTCACTACAAACAACAAAATAATTATGTAGGGCAGGCTAATAATGCTTCTAATAATAAACTCCAACTGTAAAGTAAAACATTATTCCTTTTGATTACAGCTAAATAAAAATGATCTACCAGACATGAATACTATTAGGTTACTGAGTACTTCCTAATGTTTAACTGTAGAGCTAGGAGAGTAGGACCTAAGAATTCCATTCTCTGTTATAAACATCACAGCTAGTCCTAACCTAATTCCTGGTTCTGAAAAAGCGTATAAATTAGAGAAAAACAAAAATGGATTAAAAATCATGATGCATTAGACATAAGTATATTTTTATGGTAAACAGTGCTAAGTGATTATAGTGACAGGCATATGAAATCTACTTTAAACTTAGATTTCTCCACTATTTTATAGGTAGACATTAAATTAGATATTGATGTCACAAGTGTTTTAAAATATACCTAAAGGGCTATCTATGTAGCCATGATTACCATATATTTTCCATTTAGATGAAATTGAATTTGTATTTTGTTGTTAAAACCTTCAAATGACTATGATTTTTATAAGCTATCATATATGAAGATTCTAAAGAACTACAAATTATTTTTTAAATACTATTTCCACATAGAACTCAGATGTATTAAATGAAAAGCAGAAGCATATATAATGTGTTTTGTGTAAAAAGAGGCATGTGTATACTTATGTATCATTCCAGAAATTATCCTTGCAAATATGAGAGACTAAAAATAGTGATTATCTCTGATGGGGAAACCAGGAGTGAGGTCTGAGGTAAAAAGTGACTTATTTTTATTGTACAGCCTTGGTACTGTTTGGATATTTTATGGATGTATTACTTATTTTATGGTAAAAATTAGGTAAATATCTATGATGGCTGAGAAAAACTATTATTTGTGTGTCTACATGAATACTTTTTACTTCACAAATTGTTCTTTTTAGAACAGCACTCACAGAAGGCTATTAATAAAACATATATTGGAGCTTTCTCAAATACAAATTATTGTTCACTTAATAAATGTGCTCTCGGGGCGCCTGGGTGGCTCAGTTGGTTAAGCGACTGCCTTCGGCTCAGGTCATGATCCTGGAGTCCCTGGATCGAGTCCCGCATCGGGCTCCCTGCTCAGCGGGGAGTCAGCTTCTCCCTCTGACCCTACCCCCTCTCATGTGCTCTCTCTCATTCTCTCTCTCTCAAATAAATAAAT